TCCCAGGGACAGGGGAGTCTGGTGGGCTGCTGTCTATGGGGTCGCACAGAGTCAGACACGACTGAAGCAACTTAGCAGCAGCAGCAACTATACTTCAGTTTAAAAAAAGACTAATGTAACACATACCAACATAACTCACATACAATTAAAGCTCCCTTTGTAACCACTATCTCAAATAGTGGAATAACCACTATCTCAAATTTCGTATTTATTCAGAGGTAACCAGTATCCCAAATTTGGTATTTATCATAACTATGTGTTTGCATTTTTGCTCTATGTGTATATATCCTGTAAACAGTACATAGTATTGGGTTGCATGTTTTGTAACTATTACTAATTGAATCTTTCTGCCGTTTTTCCTACTTAGCACTGTAATAGTTGCATTCAAGTCCAGAATGGGCAGGGACTCCCCTTGTGTTCCAGTGGTTAAGAATCCACCTTGCAATGCAGGGGCTGCGGGTTCGATCTCTGGTCAGAGAACTAAGATCCCACATCCCATGGAGAAACTAAGCCCACACGCCTCAACAACTGAGCCCACTAGAGAACCCACAAGCTGCAACTGCTGAGCCCTCACACCACAGCTAGAGAATGCATGTGCCACAGTGAAGGTCCCATGTGACAGAGATCCACACACCACAACTCAGGCCAGATGCAGCCAAGAGAGATGTGTCCAAAGAGATGGCCTTTTTTTGAAGTTTGATACAGGCAGCTCTCTAGCACAGCTCATTCATTCTCATGATGGGCATTTAAGATTCCAGTTATTCATTATTAAAGCAGTGCTGCAGCAAATATTCCTATGCATGTCTTACGCTTGTATGCATGTGTGTGTTTGTTGCAGTAGCTTTCATTTCATTACCTCTGCAGTAAGAAGTACCTTTCTGAGCAGCAGGACTCACAAATGTTAATTTCTGCTAATCCCCCCCAAAGAACTTCATTTAAAATACGTAAATCTTAAACTCTGCTAGATTTTGCTAAACTGTTCTCCAAAACGATTGTGGCTATTTATAGTAATAGTTTCCACCATTAGGAAGTAAGATTAATTCCTTCTCTCTATCCTTATCAATTTTTTATATTGCCAGCCTTCTGAATTTCTGCCAACCTGATGAATATGAAAATAGAATTTCATCATGATTATAGTTTCCATGTTTCTGATTATTCGTGAGATTGAACACCTTTCTGCTTTGTACATTTGACTCTCTTATGGTTTTTTGCCTAATTTTTTTTCTTACTTGTCCGTCCTTTATATATTCTAGACTCCAATATCCTAGTCTGTGACATGTCTTCATTTTGTTTATGGTGTCTTTTAAAAGCAAGAAGTTGTGCAATCTTGTGTGCATTGAAAAGCAAGAAGTTGTGGAATTATTCCTTATGTAGGATGCTGTCAAGTGTAGTAGCCCTAGCAGTCTAATATAGTTTTGCTATAGCGTGTTTTTAAATAATGTGAACCAGCTCATGAATGATTGCTAAAATAGGGCAGTGCTGTCTATATACCCAGAAATCACACTGATTCATGTGCAGTTTTTCCCAGCACATTAATGTTTTACACCAACAGTTTTGTAATAGTTAAATCAAAGAATATATGCCTTTCAGTCTGAAATAGAGAGGTGTTGCATGATTTGATTGCTTTAATAGGATCACGCAGTAGAAACATGAAATTATTGCAATAATTTGGGCAAGAGTAAGTAGATGGAGGCTTGACCAAACTATGCTGGTAGGCCATAATGAAAAGTATGAAACCCTACTACCCTAGAAAAACACATGTGCACAAGAATGTTTATTGAAGCATTGATTTAATAGTGAATAACTACAAATGCCACCAATAGAATGGATACACTCTGCAATTTGAATTAACTAGAGCTGCATGTATTGAGTTATATATTAGACAACAAAGTATAACTGTTGCACATACAGATGGATATGAGTCTGGAGTTCAGGACAGTTGTATAAGCTGGACATAGAAATTTGTCTGTTATGATAGAGTTGCTGTAAAACCACAAGATTGGGTAAAATTGCCAAGGGAGTAAGTAGAAATAGAAAAGATCTCAGAGGACTGAGCCCCGGGAAGCTATCATTTAGTTTGGAGGAAAGGAGGAAGAATAAAAGAAGGCAATGATTTGGAGGAAGTGAAGTGATTCCCAAGGAGAAAGCAATAAACTAGCAAATGCTGCTGATATGTAAGAAGTATGAGACGTTGACTTAACATTAAAGTCATTGATACCCTTGGCAAGAATTTCAGTGGAATGGTGGAGTTGAAGGCCTGACTAGAATGCTTCAAGAAAAAAATGGGAAGAGGAAAACTGAACTTCTTCAGACTCACATCATCACATCTGCTTACCTAACTCTTCTTCTGCCCATATATTCTTCCCTTCTGTCTTGTTACTATGAACCATCTGTGTGTGCTTCTAGCTAAGGCCTGCCCCTTCAGTTGCGCACTTGCTTTTATCTTTTCTTACCTATTAAAAACTGAACCTGGGAAATCTCCCCTCCCTTTCCGACATCATCACTTTCTCTACTGCATCATTCCTCTCAGCATGTAAACATGCCAATATCTTTCCCACTTTAAAAAAAGAAATTCTTTCTTGATCCAATTTCCCCCTTTAGATACCACCCACATTTTCTTTGTTTATAGCAAAAGTCTTTGAAAGAACTGTCCTCCTGCTATCCAGTTTTTCTTATATTTCATGTATGGAGGCAGGCATGGAATAAGTAGACAGTTGGAATTAATTATATTGTGATTAAGCCATGTGAGTATGAGGATTTAGAGGAACAAGGGAATTAAGATTCTATGCAAGAGTGTAATTTAAGCTGCTTCAGAAGAAAGTAATTGATAGGGGAGAGAGATGTGAAAAGGTGGTAGTATCAATGGACCCAAGTTCCCCATGGGGGTTCACAGTATCATTGGAGATAAAGAAAGTAGGGTGAAGTGAGCTGGAGAGAGGGGTTAGTGGTTGGGGAAAGAGGTGTTTGAGGTCAGAGAAGAGTCTGAGTTATTGGTAATGACAAGCTCAAGGTTATGACCAAATTTGTAGCTGAGGCAGAAGAGAAAGGAAAAATTACTGGAGAGCCTTTCAAAGTTCAGCCAATGAAGTGGGAGGCCAAGATACTGGAAGGATCATCTTTGTAAGTATTGAAATCACCAGCAAATGTAACTGGAGTAGTGCAGAGAATGAGTGAGAAAGGAACTATACTCCTAAAAGATCAAGAAGGAATTGAGGGGGCTGTACAGTAGGCACAATAGATACGGTAGACAGAATTACAGTACGGAGTACCGAGGTAGAAGATGGCATGGTCTGATGACGTTATTAATAGAGGCGGCAGAGAACAGAGCCAAGCTGCCATTTGAGAGGGCTGCAGGAGCAAATCATGTCAGAAGTTATAACCTCTAATTCTGAGAAGTGAAGTTTAGAGAGCTGGGTATTTTCATAAATTAATACTCAGTTTTCTTAAACCACAGTCTCATGATAAAGAGAGATGAATTTTTAAAAATTATGTACAGAAAAAGCCATGAAACAAGTGAAATTCAGCTTCATGTTTGGAAGACATAGGGAGTGGCAAAGGGATTATTTTAAAGGGAGCGGTCTATTTTATTTTATTTATTTGGCTGCACTGGGTCTTAGTTGTGGCATGCGAGATCTTTAGTTGAGGCATGTGGGATCTAGTTCCCTGACCAGGGATAGAACCTAGGTCCCCTGCATTGGGAGGTCAGAGTCTTAGCCACTGGACCACCAGGGAAGTCCCGGGACCAGTTATATTGTGTGGTTGTAATAGCAGAATTCAGGCCTAATGTTGACTCATCTTTTTTATTTTTTTTAAGAGAAGCTAGAACTGTGGATTTTTGTGTTAAAAAAAAATATATTACAAATGCTAGCTTGTTTGAAATACTGTGCAGATCAAATGAAACACGTCAGAAATTCCATTTAGCCATTGTTGCAATTTTATGAACTCTGCTTTTTAAAATAGAAACTACTATGTCTGTGTTTGTTAAGTTCAAGAGTCAAAGTCCATGACCCTCAAACTGGCTGCCTTGTTGGGTAGCCTGCAGCTGTTGAGTTCAGTCTGCAGGTTTATGGAGAGTGACTATCACAGGCCGATCATCAAGCAGCACTTAAATCACCTGGAAGTTTATCAGTTGCTTAATTGATTATTACTCAAACAGATCTTATTTCATCCCCACACCCCCCAACTTTTTCTTTCTTTTTGCTTTCATTTCTAACCCTGATGATGGAATTCCTTTGAAGAAAAACAGTTAGCCTTTAACGGCCTGAACTTTAATAAAAGAGAGCTTCTAATAGAGGAAAACTTGAAGGTTCTTTAAGCCTGAAAAAACAGACTGTAACATTATAAAATATTTAATGTTTCTTCAAAATCTTCAGTGTTCCTTCAGTCTTTTTTTTTCCCCTTCAGTCTTAATGATGACTGAGAAGATATTTTTGTATTGAAGTAGGAGTCTAAAGATGGTATTTGACTGTGTTTCACCTTGGGCAGAGCTGTAAACTCCCTTCCAGACTTAGTTTCCTTATCTATAAAACAGATATTAAAAATACATGTCCTACGTACTTCATAAAGTAGCTGTTACAATCAAATGAGAACGTGAAAATCTTAAACTTTGTATGAGTGCTTTAGTAAAGTCTGTTAAAGAATGACAGCTTGCCTAAAGCTTCTGAAATTGCCTATTTAGAGAAAATATTTTAGATTTTAGAATATATTTAAAATTCAGGAAACCCCTTGAGTATCAGTAGATATCTACTTCTAATAGCAACTTTCCTATTGAAAGATGACACTGCTGATGGTATCATTGTGCGAGGCAGTGGCTGAAAAGTATCCCTCTCCAGTTCTGTAAGCATGACTGGTTGTACTTTGGTTAAAAATCTTGCTCCTTCAGATGACACCTGATACACATACTCTTTCTTGGTCCCACCATCATCTTCCCTTCCCTTCTCACTCTACTCAAGTTTCTTTTTCATCAAAATTAACAATTATCACTTGAGATTTAGACTTAATGTAGTCTTTTCTAGCAGCATTTAATACACACTTAAAAGAACAAGCCTTAACTGAGAAACACAGGATACTTCATTTTCACAGTAATTTTTTTTAAGTTCCAGTGATGAAAACTCGAAGGCAGCTTCTTCAAAGGAAGATAATGTTGACGAATCCAGTGCAACCAGTGTTGAATATTAGGTGATAAAATCTTTATCACATCCAGCTTGACTGTCCTGTAATTGTCTGAGTCTTTTAGAATAGTTACTCCTTTTTATTAGTTGTGTGGTTGTCATATAGCCATGGGAGGAAAAAATTGAACATCAAAATCATCAGCAATATACCTGAAAGACAAACAGTAAATAGCAAAGTAAAACAATATAATCTTTTAAGAAGTTTATGATCCATAGTTATAATTTAAGATTATATATAATTATTTACCACGAAATTTGTAGAGGTGTGTTTAAAAGAATTAGCTACATCAGTTCTACATAAAACGTGTAGATATTTTATTTATTTTTGGCCATAGCACATGACATGTGGGATCTTCGTTCCCCAACCAGTGATCGAACCCATGCCCCCTGTGGTAGAAGCACTGAGTTTTAACCACTGGACCACAGGGAAGTTCCATCATGTAGATATTTTAAAGTCTAATATTCTCACATGATTTTTCTTCAACCATGAATCATTAAACACAGTACATACTTGGAAAAACCAGTAGGATCTAAATAATGAATTCAAAGGATAAATAAAAATAGAAAGATCTGGAGTTCTGTTTCTAGCCCCATTACTGACTTGCTAAGTGAGAAACTCGACTTGGGTCTCCATTTTAATCTCAACCATTAATAGCTTTTAGAACTGTATTAAGCAAAGTTTCTGAAACAAAAATTTCAGTTGACATTTTAAAACTTGAATATAAATATGCTTTTAAAAATCACATTAGTAAATTTTCATTTTTGAGGTCATTTCAGATAAATCTAGCATGTGTATAATAGGTAATTTAAAAACATTTTTATATCAAAGATTTAAAATTTTTCAGTGGGAAACAGAGACAGAGGGGACTTAGCCATGGGACTCAAATCACTGTCTAAAAGAGAAGTCTGTGGTGGTTAATGGTTTTATCTTAAGGTATGTAGGTTTAAAGCTCTATTGTTGTTCAGTCACTTAGGTTGTGTCGGACTCTTTGTGACCCCATAGATAGCATGCCAAGCTTCCTTGTCCTTCTCTGTCTCCTGGAGTTTGCTCAAATTCATGTCCGTTGAGTCAGTGATGCTATCTAACCGTCTCATCCTCTGCCGCCCCCTTCTCCTTTTGCCTTCCATCTTTCCCAGATCAGAATCTTTTCCAGTGAGTTGCCTTTTCCCAGGTGGCCAAAAGTATTGGAGCTTCAGCATCAGTCCTTTCAGTGAATATTCAGGGTTGATTAAAGGTAGGCTTAATGCTCTAAATCAGTTAAACTTAGATTAAGAATGTGTTTTTATCTCATGCAGATTTGATAGTTTACTCCTGTTTGATAAGAGGAAATTAAGGTTTGACTAATATTTGGAAAACTTAACAAATTTTTAAAAGATGAGCCTGTTTTGCAACCAGAAGCTTTAGATTAAAAAAAAAATCAGAATCAATCTTATTCACAAAATTTGACATTTTCTTTATAAAGTTAGAGTCAGAAAATAAGACATTACATTTAAAACTTTATAAAAATGGAGTTTCAATTTTATAGAATCAAATAGAATCTGCTAATTTTCATTATATGAAATATATAAGCTAGAGAATTAATTCTATATACATCCTTATAGTCACATTTCTAACATCTTATTAATTTGGAGGAGGTGGCAGGGCGCTCCTGGGTTCAATCCCTGGTCAGGGAACTAGATCCTATGTGCCGCACCTATGAGTTGGCATGCCACAACTAGATCCCATATGCCATGACTGGAAAAAAAAAGATCCCACATGCCATAATGAAGATCAATGATCCCATGTGCCGCAACAATGACCTGGTGCAGCCAAATAAATAAATAAAAAAACTATTAGTAGACCTGTCCAATTAGTGACCTTTTTAACTTCTTTGTGAACTTCAGTGACCTTTTTTTAGTTAAAAATCAAGAACAGATAATTTATCTTTGAAGAAGTTACTAGAAAACACTAGTAATGAATAGATGAAAAAAGTTATCTTTATTAGCAGCTTAAAATACAGTTTCTTTCTGATATTCTTCATGTTTAATATAGATATTACTGAGCATAACAGATGCTAAATGTGAGGAAAATTCCTAAATGACAGGAATGGAGGGTGAATGGGAGGAGTAAAGTGTCATGGCTATTCAAACAGGTTATGCCAATGTTTTCTTCTGTAGGTACCCTCCCCTCCCCGTGCCCTCTTTTTTTCCCCCACAGAAATGAGCAACAAGAAACAAAACGCAAACTGTGGATAAAAGAAAAATGAACTAATAGAAGGCCAGTTACCCTCATATTCATTTATAGCTGTGAATTACAGTTAGGCTTAAAACAGATGATTAAACAAAATCAAGAAATGCTGATAACTTATATAAGGGTATGCATATCATGATTACAGTTATTTTGTAACTTTTTTGTGTTATTTGACCTATTTGAGAAGAAGAGTTTTACATATCTGACCCAGATAGAAATAATGGGAATGCAATTTGTGGAAAATTTTAAAACTACATTTATTATAGTTCTGTATTGTTTCATGAAATGCTCTTTGACAAAATGGGTCAAATGAGCCAAATAGTATTTTATTTGGAGCTCACAAACTTGAAAAAACAAATTCCTTTCGCAAAAAAAGGTTATTTAAAAAAAATTTTTTAAAAAAAGGTTATTTTTTAATGGAAGTAATCCTCACTTCTTTGCCCTCATATCTGAGAGCATATTAAAGAGATATTAAACTTCAAACTTACTATTCTTAACTTGTTTCTTTGAAGACAAAAGCAGTTTTAAAGGATACTGCCCAAAATAAAATGTTATTTTGGGCATAATATTTCATACCTTTTTTGTTTTCTTTTTTGTTCCTACTCTGGCTTTGAAAATTGACATATTACAGTGACATTCCATATCGTATTTTAGTATATTCTAATCTTTTCATCATATTGAATAAAAATATACTTACCTAAAGAAGGAGAGAGCCAATATACTATAAAAAACTGAAGGAATGCTTCATCAAAACACTTGAAATGCAGTGAAAGTGCCAAAGTTGGATTAAATATAGCTCCTGTGAGACTTCCTCCTGTAATACATATTAAGCAGAATGATACCAAACCATATATCTTACATTTTCTTGTAACTAGAAATACAGGGATTACTAAATAAAACTTTTATTTTAGGTATTTAAGTTTTCTTATTCTGTAATTTTCCTTTGAAGAATCACCTGGCATATTATAGAATATAAAAATATAGATTATAATATGCCAGGTGCAAAAAAGGCAGGAAGACAAAGAACATTAAGAATTTTCATCCAGTGCTTTTCCTATAGTATATTATAAAATACACATTGAAAGTTAACCTGCTCTTGTTAGTATTCCTACAGTTTTATAAAACAGATTTGGCTGCCCTTCTTAACATTCATCAACTTGAATTAATAAAAATATAATGAAAATGTTGTTAAAATGGGCACAATACCCCAGGATCCTCTTGAACAGAAATAACCTTGGTGTTGAAACAAAAAGTAAAATAGACCAAAGCATTATCATTGATTCCACTTTTACCTGTCAACAGAGCCCTGAAGAAGTGGCTGTGAATGGTATGTGAATAACCTCAATAAAGTGGTTACAGAAAAAAAATTAATAAAAAAAGAAGTGACTGAGTAATCATGAAAGATCAGCACAAATTCTAACTGTTGCCTGCTTTTCAGGACTTAGGGTCCAGCTCTTCACTTAGGGTCTCTCTCTGAGATGGGGCCCAGGAATTTTATAGCTGTGGCCACACAGCAAGTGAGGAAAAGCGAAAGAGGCTGGACTGGCTGTCCAGTGGTACTCACCAACACTGTGGCTCAGCTTTTCACAACATACCCTGATTGTATCCCTGAGACAGAGACATTTCTGGTGGTTGTTCCATGTGGAAGCTTGAGCACACTCATCTGCCTCTAACTTAGCCACAGCAACAGATCAAAGATCTTTACAAATTTTACATGGACACACGCCACAAGAGCATGTTAACTGTTTTTATAAAATGCTGTGAAGTAAAATTGGAAATTAAGTGACCTTTTCATAAGATTTCACTCTTGACAGGCTGAAAACATTGAAGCTGTGTTGAGATAAGATGTTGAGAAATGAACTGAGTTCACTCCGTGGCTAAGAGTTTTTTCCTAGCATTCCAGCCCCACAGCACAATTCATATTCATGCCTCAGCAATTATAAATGACATCACATCATGGACCTTCAGAACTACTCTTGAATAGTCACATCCTGGAATGTTGAGCCTGCAAATGCCAGGGGCCAGCAGAATTATTTGGTTAGTGTGTGGTCATTTCAAATTAATGCCACAAAAAATTACTGAGTTCTTACATTCTGGACACCATGAGCAGAAAGGTAAGAACTCACACAGATCTTTCCACACAGACTACACAATAAAATATAATGTAATATGTGCCGTGATAATACAAGTGACCTGTGATTTTTTAAGGCATTTATCAATAGACAGCCATTACCTTCATAATTAGTTTGCTTCAGTATTGCCATTAGGTCTTTGGTATTTTTATTAGGTCTAAGAACACTACCATTTGGTTTTATACCACTCTAAAACTCCAGTTACTTCATACTCTTTGTCTTCTAATCCTCCCATCACCAGTTCTGCTCAGTGTAACTTGGTAGATGCTGCTTCTCCTAAGATGCACAAGTCTGTTCCTCTCTCTTGAGTATGGACTGGTTTTGCAACTTGCATTAACAAATAGAATGCAGCAGAAGTGATGCTATGTGAATTCTGAATGTGAGGGGCAACACTGAATTCTAGGTTCAGGTCTCAATAAATCCATCATTGGCTTCTACTCCTTGCTGTGTTGGAACAATGTGCTGACCATGTACATGAGTTGGTCTAGGCTGATGGAGGATGAGAGGCCACAAGGGAAAAAGCTGAGGTATCTCAGATGGCTGTTGGAACCAACTGCTGGACACACAAGTGAAGCACCTTTGCTCTTCCAAAGAAACCAACTGTCCAGCTATCTGATCTCAGGGGGATTTCCTATCTAACCCACAAAATCATGAAAAAAAAATTGTTATTTTAAGCATTAAGCATAAGTTAACTGATTTAGAAATCCATTGTGTCAACAAAAGGTCCAAAAGATGGCATTGGCTTTGATATTTTAGGCTGGATCATTCTTTGTTGGGGTTGTCCTATGCACTGTGGGATTTTTAGCATTCCTAGCCTTGACCCATTAAATGTCAGTTGCATATTCATCTCCCCCATGTAACAAACAAAAATGTTCCCAGACGTTGCTCAAATTGTTTTATTGAAAACCACTGTCCTAGAGAACTACTGATACCTGTATACTAGTAGACACAAGGTTGTTTATTTATAATAGCAACAAACTGGGAAAAACCTAAATGTTCATTCATAAGAAAATAGCTAAATAAATAACTTTATTATTAATTTGGAATGCTGTTCAGTATTCAAATAATATGAAAGATCTCTTTACTAACACAGATATCCAAGATAGTATCATTGAACCACACCACTAAAAAAACAAAACTGCAGAAAGTATGATTCATCTTAATATGAGCTCACATATAATCATTTCTGTAGGGTCCTATCAATATGTACAATAAATGTACATAAGCGTTTGGAAGGACATGCACGCACAGAGGACTATACTGGTGAGAAGAGGAGGCAGGGAAGGAGAGGGGACAGGCATGAAGGATGGTAATCAAAAGGCATTGAAAGTCTCATTGGAAAAAAAAAGTCATCAGTATTGGTAGTGTTTCCATTTTTTACAAAAAGAACACATTCATGTATTTTGTAGTTAAATATGAATTATTTTAAAAGTAAGAATTATCCATCAGGCACAGAACTTGCCTGAAAAATTACTGAAAAATTAGTTACTATGTATTGATGTCTGAAGGGAAGAAGCCATAACACCTGTTGAAGAAGAGGTAGCAACAGGGAGATCCAGCTGGCTGCTAAGAATCTCAGAGGACAGTGTGAATGTGGTGAAATTAGGCCAGTCAAAGGACGGAGTTCCAAATGTGGTAATTATAGGCACTTATGTTTCTCAGTAGTCATAAAGCAAATCAAACTCTGTGACAGAATGACACTAAAATCATGCAAGACTTGCATAAAAGCTAGAGTGTCAATTAACTAATTTATAAATGGAATCTATAAATGGAATCACCCTTTCCAGTGACCAGACATCTGTGCCAGTTACTGTGGGAAGAACTTGGAGTACATTATTTTTCATGATAGTCTGAAGCGATAGTGTTATTCTCCATTTTAAGGATGAGGAAACAGACCTAAATTATCTCTCCTAAGGACACAGTCCTTAGTCCAACTCCAAGAGGCTTATGCTCTTTACCACTGTATTATACTGGCATGGGAAAAACAAAAACAAAATATTTTGTGCCTTGTTTGAAGCTGTTTTTCATTTGTAGATTGGAACCTATTTCATATGGTTATTGTATTAAAAGTAAATATATATATATATATATATATATATATAAAGGACTTAGCTCCTTTCTTTGACAAATAATGTATCCAAATTCTTCATGACTTAGAAGGATTCCAGAAGCTCCTGAATGGAGTAAAAGTGCAATTACTTTGGACATTTTAGTAGGCTTATTTTGGAAGCTCTTAGACATAAAATATGGAATACCCAGATATGTATTATTTCTTTTGATTTTTTTAAGTGAATAGACTATTTGCTATTTCATTCATTTTACTCATTCTAAAAATAATGAGTATTTATTTGTAACAGGTGACACTGTACTAAGTCCTGGTTATATTTCATAATGAATAAAACAGTTTTAGTTTCTGTACTCATAAAGCTTACTGTCTGGTGGAGGGAGACAGGCATTACCTCAGAAAACAAGTATATAACTAAAAGTTCTGCAAAGGAAATGAACAGGGTACAATAAGAAAGACAACCTACTTGGATGTGTAAAATAGATTTTTTCCAATATCTAATTAATTTATACAGTTCTCTCTTATCCTAGTCATTGAACCAAATTGTCCCCAAACCTAAATCTTCCTAAAGGAAGATTTGCTTGAAATTTGCATTAATAGTTTTATAGTTCTAATATGTTAATAAATCACAAAGCTTTTTCTCACTTTATTTGGGAAGCCAATAAATATATAAGTGTTAAAGGCATCAGTGGCCTCCATCTGCACAAATGTGCAGTGTGCTAAATCAATAAATATGCAATCAGATGCTTAGTCACTGGCTATCCAAGGAGCCTATAGCTATGTTGCTGAACAGTTATGTTCTATAAGCTTAAATAATCCATTCTTTTAATATGACCTGTATTAGTGACTTCTGGGTATCCTCAAATGCAAGTGATTAAAGAAATATCCCAGCATGCAACTTAGCCAAACCAGTACTAATATTATCTTGGTGGTGGTGGTTTAGCTGCTAAGTTGTGTCCAACTCTTACAACCCCATAGACCGTAGCCCGCCAGACTCCTCTGTCCATGGGACTTCCCAGGCAAGAATATTGGCGTGGGTTGCCATTTCCTACTCCGGGGGATCTTCCCAACCGAGGGATGGAACTCATGTCTCCTGCATTGCTGGCGGTCTTCTGCATTGTAGGTGGATTCTTTACTGCTGAGCCACCAGGAAGCCCAGTAGTGTTTTAGAAGTTAAAAAGAGAGAGACTGACATATTGAAGTAACTTGTAACAGTTCCTGACTTAGCGGATGCTTCCCCTGCCTTCCCTTCCCTATCCATTCTTAACTCCTTCCTGCAAAGTCCTCATGTCTGCCTGATGAGGTACACACTGAGCTAGTCCTAAAACAGTTCACTCTATTTAAATAGCTCTGACCTAAAGTTATGATTTATATCCATAGAAAATAATGGGGAGTGATGGCTTAGTGCAGCATTTCCCAAAGTACGCTCTCTTCTACTACACACTCCTAGACAAAAGTACTCCTATATTTGAAAAACTGTTCCATGTCTTTCTCTTGGAGTTTCACGATAAACAGTAGCATAGTAAAACTCTGTGAGTCTTAAGTTAGAGAATCTCTTTAATCCAGTGTCTGCTAAGTCTATTTGGTAACAATCCTTTGTTAACTTAAATCTTGTTACGTTATGGTAAAATATATGCCATTTTAACCATTTAAAAGTGTATATTCATGGCATTGGTTATAATGTTCAACCATCACCACTATTTCTAAAATTTTCCATTGCCCCAAACAGAAACTGTACCTATTAAACAAAAAAATCCCTATTCCTCCTTGCTGCCCAACCCGTGGTAACCTCTATTCTACTTTCTGACTCATGAATTTGCCTATTCCGAATATCTCATATAAAGTGAAGTCATATAACATTTGTCTCTTTGTGTCTGGCTTATTTTGCTTAGCATAATGTTTTCAAGGTTCATTCCTATGGTAGCATTTATCAGAACTTCATTCCTTTTCATGGCTGAACAATATTCAATTGTATGTATATATTTTTGTTACTTTTTAGGAGCATGCTGTAGAAATGCTGATAATGAAATGAGTATAAGCTTTAGTATAAATCTGAACCATGGTTCCAGCTCATTCTATTAATAGCTGTGTGGTCTTGAACAAGTCACTTTACTTAAAATGGGAATAGTGTATTTAGTGGGTTGTTGTAAGGATTAAATACCAAAACTCATAAATTTCCTATATGCTTGCACATTGCCCAGTGAATACTCTTATCTCCCTTATTTGGCAGAAAAGGAACATCATAATAATCAATTTCTGAAACAATAAGTAATTGTTAGGTTCTGTCCCTGCAGATGAAAATGTTGTTATCGTGACTGAGGAATATTTTAGTTGATAATCACCTGTGACTAGTGGCTATGATGAACTGACCAGCAACATCTAGACTGGAGCAGTGGTTCTCAGCCCTGGTTTCATATTGGGATCACCTGGGAAAATTTTAAATCTACCATTGCTCAGGCCCCTTCACACAGCACTTAAATCTTATTTTGTTTTTTTCCACAGCAATTAAATCTTAATCTCTGTACCTAGATATGAATATGTTTAAAACACTCCCCAGGCGATTCCTATGCAGAGGGAATGTTGAGAACCACTGCTCTAGTGATCCTTTCAGTCTCTCCTCCTCCTCCATCAAGTAGTAGCCTCATTTCAGCAGTGTCGATGTCAGTAATGTAAGGGGAAGGAAAAGAACGTTTCTGGATATCTTAAATTGTTATTTTATGGGTCTTCCAATAACTCTCCTTATATTTATGTATAATTTCAAATATTACCTTGTTTCTCCTCTCAAAGTCTTTACTTATAAAATAGATACTGACTAATATTATATACAGTGTTATTGTTGAAATCATAAATAGGTATTAACGGTACAAAAACAGGAAGAATACCAACTTATAGATTATCAAGAGAGGGATAAGGAACTCTGTATAACATTGTATTAATTTAAAACTTTTTTTTTTGGCCGCCCCGTGGGGCATGTGGAAGTCTAGATCCTCCAACCAGGGATCCAACCTGAGCTACCCCCCAGCTCTGCAGTGGAAATGAGGAGTATTAACCACTGGATCAGCAGGGAAGTCCCTAAAACATCTTTTAACTGTTTACCACATCTAATTAAAGTACAGAGCTAAACTGTGGCATAACTTTTTGCAAGCGATGATTCTGTTCATATACAAGGGATGTTTCGGCTTTAGTCCAAACTTAAAATTTTAATAAGCAACTACTCACCAACCCCTCAAATATGCATATATCCTTCCTTCTTTCCTATACCACTCATTTCCATCTGAGTCTACAAAAAGGATGGTACTACATTTTAAAGAAGGTGAAATGGATTGGAAAGTCTTTCATTTTACCTAGGAGTTGAGCATATGTTTAAAAGTCTTTATCTTAAGGTTTGCTTCTACTCATAGTTTCCCTTTCAATGGGCAGAAGGCAGAGTCTTACTACTAATTCTTTTTATTAGATGCCTACCTCCAAAACATTTTACAATTCAGATATAGTTCTAGTGAAAATATTCTATTATGATCATTTAAAATGATGTGCTTCATCATTGCTTTTCAAATTTCCCTATTCCATTTAGAATATTTTCCTGTCCTATTTAAAATATCCACTATATCTGAGTTCTGTCAAGTTAAACATGATTCACAAAAAATCAAGCAGATTTCTCAAGAATTATTTTTTTCTCAAGAATTTTTTTTTAATTTGAGAATTTTTTATTGATCACCCTATTATACATTAAAGAAAGAAAGTGAAGTCACTCAGTTGTGTCCAACTTTTTGTGACCTCATGGACTATAGCCTGGACAGGCTCCTCTGTCCATGGGATTTTCCTGGCAAGAATACAGGAGTGAATTGCCATTCCTTTCTCCAGGGGATCTTCCCACCCCAGGGATCAAACCTGGGTCTCCCGCAAAGAATTTTCTTGATAATTATTTTAAAAAATCTTTGATTTCAAGCAAGTTCTGATTTTAAAACACATCTTCCTTGATAGGCCATTAAAAGTTCATTTCAGGATGAATTAGAAAGGAAATAAATGATTTTAAGTAATTTTGTAGAAAAATAACTAAGAAATAGAACTATAGAATTTTACTTCCCACCCTTACTACTAGCTAATCATGTAGCTTGTGCTTTAAATTGGAAGGAACTTTTGAAACCCAGGATCATTTTTCAGCGAGAGCTTCAGCAAGGATCTATATACCAAGTGGGCAAGAGGTAGCTGATGTTACCTTTCCTCTCTACCATTACAACAATCCCTTTGTAGGATATTTGAACCCTTGGCAGTATCTCACATGATCTCTGTTTCAGTACAGAAGTAGCTTTCTCTGGGTGTTAAAAAGAAAGCACTGAATGGAGGATCGATATTTGGACCCTATCGGTAAAGAATGAGCTGCAAAATGATTAGAATTACGGAAATACCAATATTGACATCACAGAAGCGTAGTAGTTTCGAATGTATCCTGGCAAAGAATTTAAGAGTCTCAAGTCATAGAAGCTGCGGACGTGCCCAGTGTTTTGTGGGAATAACAAACCTGCATAGACCAAAAAGGTGATGAGTGCTGACAGCAGGTGGATACGAAGCTTGGTTCGGACCTCCTGGAAGTGAAGCAAAGCGCTGTGGAAAATAAAGGAGCAGACAGCCTCTATGATGACCGCTTTGGGCAAGTCCACTTGAATGGGATTCCTGCAAACGAAGCTCCTCTCGCTGACGTGATACTTGGTCAGCCCCAGGCTCCACAGGGCGCCCATGCAGTACCTGCTGCACAGGGCACCAATCAGCTGAGCTAACAGTCTAATCGCACCCGTCTCAGCGGACATTCCCCCCAGCATCATCTGCATCATCACGCCGCACGGGTTGCTGGAGGTGCCCACCAGAGTCAGGCCATGCACCAATGAGAAGAAGTAGATTAGCGTCAGCGGCCAGGTGGGGTGAAGGGGTTCCTGCTCACTCAGCAGTTGTAACTCATGAGTGCAGAAGCAGAGCTGGAAGGTGGCCAGAAACTCCAAGACGAAGGCGTGGGCCATGGGCCCGTTCAGCTGCTGCCGGCTGACCACGCGGGCTAGACCCATGAACAGCACGATCGATAGCATCAGCCCCAGCGAGGTGCAGGTATCCTGCATCTCGGGCCAGAGCCCCCGTAGCGCGGTCATGGCTTTCTCAGCACCAGACGGGGCTGCCTGCTCGAACTCGGCAGGAGGCAGTCTCTGGGCCCCAGTCCCAAGTCCTCAGCCCCGCCCCCTCCTCACGCCCCTCGGGGCGGGCCGACTCCAGACCAGCGGGAGGCCCTGGGGGTGCCACGCGGAAGGACTCCTCCCCATTTTCCCGGCTCTGCTCTAGAGTTTTGTTGCCAGAGCCGGGGAGGAGGGGAGGCGACGGGCCGCGAGGAGAGCTCTGTCAGGGCACCGTCTGAGGGGGCCAACAGCCAGCAGAAGACAGACACAGGCCCTCGCTGTTTCCCTCAGGGACTGGAAGCGGGCGCGGGTGGGGCAGGGAGTGGAGGGACGGCGCGCGTCCGGAGGCCACTGCGCATGCGCGCGACGGCCCGTGCGCCCTTGCGAGAGGCTAGACTTGGGCCCCAGGGTCCCTGGCGCTGAGCTGGAAGGCGCGCGCCCCCTGCGTCTTAACAGGTGCTTTGACATGAGAACCTTGAGGGTTTTACTTTTCAGCTCTTAAAACTGTAAAGCCGTCAAGCTGCAGTCCAGACCCCCTAAAGAGCTTTTCGGCCAACCACCTCGTTTTTAATTTCTGGGACGACTGAGAAGGCGAGAAGCGGTGGAGGCCGGGGGTGGGGCGGCGTGGGTAGGGTGGGGCTGGGTACTGGTTTAAGGAGAGTGAACTTCACAGAGAAACGAGGTTTGACCTTTGTGAAGAGGGGTATGCCACTGGGTTGGTTGGTTGGTTTTTTGTTTTTTTTTTTTTTCCACCTGCTACCTGTAACATTTACCTCAGAAGGTTGTGGGTCACACGACTCACCTCGTGGATTTGTTTTAAAAAAAGAAAAACAAAAACCTGAGAGGCACCGTGGCACAGAGCTTAGGAGACAAAAGATGGTCAATGAGTGCTAGCTTAAAGTTGAAAGAGCGGATCTTGCCACCGCTTTCCATTCCCAACAGCTTGCCCATTTGGGATGGCCGCGTTATGGGTGCAGCTGGGAGGGAATGTCTGCGATTCCTCAGGCCTGGCATCTACCGTGCCTGCGTGTGTGCTAAGTCACTCAGCCGTGTCTGATTCTTGACGACCCCACGGGCTGTAACCCGCCAGGCTCCTCTGTCCATGGAATTCTCCAGGCAAGAATACTTAAGTGGGTTGCCATTTCTGTCGCCAGGGGAGCTTCTCAACCAAGGGGTTGAACCCGCGTCTCTTAAGTCTCCTGAATTGGCAAGTGGGTTCTTTATCACTAGCGCCACCTGGTATTCTGCTAAATGGGCTTTCCTGGTGGCGCTAGTGGTAAAGAATCCACCTACAACGCAGGAGACCCGGGTGCCATCCCTGGATCAAGAAGATCCCCTGGAGGAACACATGTACACCCATGGGTGATTTGTGTGAATGTATGGCAGAAACCACCACAATATTGTAATGTAATTAGCCTCCAACTAAAACAAATTAAAAAAAAAAAAAGAAGATCCCCTGGAGGAGGAAATGGCAACCCACTCCAGTGTTCTTGTCTGGAATAGAGGAGCCTGGCGGGCTACAGTCACTTAGCACACATAGGTATCATGGTTTAGCTGGGGGAGAGGGGTGCAGATACCTCTGCACTCTCCAGCTTCTGTCCTGCCTCCCCCAGGCTCTGTTGACCACAGGTCCCCATTTCTTAAGGCTGGAGAGAAGGGAGAGAGAAATAAAAATGAGGGGACTAATTAGCCCGAACTTCATTCTTGGCGTTTCTCCTCAGCTTTGTTTCCCTATCTCAATTTGTCCATTTACAACTAATGGAAGTTCTCTTTGTAACTCAAATTTTCTATGGTGCCAATAGACATTCCCTGAATTAGAAAAACAAATCATTTCAGAAAACACACAAACTCTGTAGACAAATGAGGTCCTTTCTTCTTTCCTGTGTTTGTGTCTGACCGGGAAACAATTTAAAGTAAATTTAAACTTACTGTTTGGTCACTGCTGTTGAAAGAAGTTGCTTTCAAATCACATCTATGAGAATAACCCTCTCATCTCTCCCCTTTACTAGAAGTCACTTGACTTTTAGTTACTGTGGATATATTTTGATGATTTTAAAAATATGCACAATGTGAGAATTGTGAACTAAGTTTTATTTGGGGCAAAGTGAAGGCTATGCTCAGAAGACAGCACCTCAGACAGCTCTGAGAAGCTGCTTTAAAGAGGCAGGGGAGCGTCAGCATATTATGTGATTTTGGTGAAGGGGAGAATACATGCAATCAAGCACATATTTTTTTGTCTAAGGTTTCTGCTGGTCAAGAGGAGCAGTCATCACCATGAAGGATTTTAGTGATTTTGTAGATATGAGGAGATATAAGAATTGGGCTCATAATATCTGCTCCTGAAAATATCTAACTATCTGAAGACCCTTTCTGCCAGTTTTTCCCTAAGCAAAGGGTGCCTCATTTTTTCTCTCCGCCCTGAACCCCTTTCAGGAAGTGTTGAAAATGAGCAGCTGTATTAGCACATTATTTAATCCTTATAGAGGTAGATGGCAAGTGCCAATTTGTAGTTGCCAATTTCATTTACTGCTCTGCTGATAATTCACTTTTGCTAGCAAAAACCATGTAGAAAACTAGTCTTTTGGACTTTATTAGAACTTTTAGTAACATTATAATATACATTGTTATTTAAATGACTTTGGTCATTGTTTCAATTAAAGAACAAGACCAAAATAAACCCAATCAATTACTTGTGATTGAGGGTTTCACATCATATGAGTCTCTGTTTTCAGAAACAAGAGGTCACAGATTAATCCACCCCATTTCCTTCAGCATAAATGTTTGTTGATATTGAAACCATTCATCTCAGGTTGGAACTTGAACCCATGTGCTGGGACTCCAACCTGGCCAAAACCCAGTTTGGGACGCTAACTTACATGACCAGGACTCAAACACAGCCAAAACCCAAGGTCTTCCCACTAAGACCAGACACCTTGTTTCAGGACTTAATGAAGCTCAGGTTATTGAAGTCTCATTGAAGAAAAAATTCAGTGAGAGACAAAGTGATAGGTAAGAAGTGGATTTATTTACAGAGAGACACTCCATGGATAGAGTGTGAGCCATCTCAAAAGGCAAGAGTGGCCTTGAAATATTGTCTGGTTAGTTTTTATAGGTTGGCTAATTTCATAGGCTAATGAGTGGGAGGATTATTCCAGCTATTTCAGGGGAAAGGGCAGGGATTTCCAGGAACTGGGTAATTGCCCACGTTTTGGCTGTTGATGGTTGGCCTCAGAACTGTCATGGCACTGGTGGGTGTGTCATTTAGCTTGCTGATGTGTCATGAAGAATGTATACTGAGGCTCGAGGTCTCGTGGAAGTTGACTTGTTAGCCATCTTGAACTTGTTGTTTAGTCCCTCAGTCACGACTGGATCTTTGTGACCTCATGGAGTGTAGCCCACCAGGCTCCTGTGTCCATGAGATTTCTCAGGCAAGAATACTGGAGTGGGTTGCCATTTCCTTCTGGGAATCTTTTGTAGGGGATCTTTCCAATCCAGTGTTTGAACCCATGTCTCCTGCTGGTTCTCCATTGCTGGCAGATTCTTTACCTCTGTGCAATCACGCTCTGTCATTCTTTTACAGATTGTGCCCTGCCCACTTTCCTTCTATTTCAGTATGGGTGACAGAGCTGCATCTTGCAGACTCAGATCTCAAAATACCAGTTCCAAGACCAGTGTCTTCATGAGAAAGAATGACTCTACCATAGATTTGAAAATTAGGAGAGTCTGGCTTCCTCAGCAATGTTGGCCGCATTTTAACCACTTTGTCTGTGCATTATCGTAATAATGAGAGGCAGAAAGTACATAATACTAGGTGTGGTGAAAGCACTGGATTTAATATTTGAAAATGAAGGTCTGCATCTTTTCTGTACTTACTATGAGATCTTGTGGAAATTGCCAAATCATTAAACTTCTCTGAGCTTCAGTTTCCTCATCATAGTAGTATGGTAGATAACTAAGGGTTTTGTTGTGAAGGCTGAATGAGACAATACAGATAAAGTGCTTGTAAAGAGTTATTACAAATTTTTTTATTGAGATATAAGTCACATACCATAAAACTCACCCTTTTGAAGTGTACAGTTTAGTGGTTTTATTCTATTCATGAGGCTTCCCTGGTGGCCATGCCAAAGACCCGAATTTGATCCCTGGATTGGGAAGATAACTTGGAGAAGGGAATGGCTACCCATTCCTGTATTCTTGCCTGGAGAATCACATGGACAGAGGAGCCTGGACAGTCTAGGAGGTTACAGAGTCAAACATGACCGAGTGACTAAGACAACATTCTATTCACAAAATTGTGTAACCATCACAAATTAGTTATTTTGAGTGGTGATTCTTAGAAATGAAGTCCTAAATTTATAATGTGACAGTCACTATAATCTTTGCCATGAGTTATTTAAATAAAATATGAAACAATTTTGTCTTATTATACATTAAGGAGTCTCAAAGAGTTGGATGTGACTGAGTGACTGAACAAGATTTTATACATTGCTTCCTGTGTGTAGAGGAAATGAAACCATGAGAGGCCCTGTGGAGGTCTTGGATATGGAGCCCTGTTTCTGTCCCTCATTTCTTGTAGGCCAGACTCCAGCTTCCATGACCTTCCCTGAGTCCCAAGGGTGGATTGCAATAGTTGCTAATCAAGGGAGGAGCAGTTGAGAAACCACCTGAGGCAAGATTAAAGGGAAGATAAATTTGTTGAGAAGCTCATAGTCTGCCAGGCTCCTCTATCCATGGAATTTTCCAGGCAAGAATATTGGAGTGGGTTGCCATTTCCTTCTCCAGGGGATCTTCCCAATTTGGGGTTGAACCCAGGTCTCCTGCATTGTAGACAGATTCTTTACCATCTGAGCCACCAGGAAGCATTGTTATAAAACTCCTGATCAAATGCTCCTAGGTTGTGACATGTTTTTCAAGGGAGAAGCCTGCTATGTCCCCCTTTGCCTAGCAAAGTACAGTAAGTTCCCCTACATACAAACCTTGAAGTTGCAAGTTTCAAAGATATGAACATGCCTTTACATGTCCAGTAATGTAAGTTAATTCACA